GTAGAAATAGATTTGAAATGCAAACAAAAGTTCAAGTTCCTATTTTCCGTTAGAGAAGAGACTCTTACCTAGTATCAAGACAGTTTACCTGAAGGTTGTTTTATTTATTAACATTATAGTACTGATGCCCAGTCAGCCACGCGCTGAGGGGTCGTTTAGACGGGTGACGGTGATTGAGCGTGGTATTAGTGGAGAGCTGTTGCCGGCGCTATGTGTCGCCGACCGATCAGAAGTCTGTCCTCGACTGAGAATCAGAAGAGCTGTGTTAGTTGGCATTTTTTTTATATTACACTTGCGATATAAAAGAAAACACAATTGTGTTTGGGAAGGTTTAAAAAAGCATTTACATAACGTACTTATTTACATTAAATTGTCTTTAACCAATCAACATATCGACATAATGATTAATTCAGGGAAGAAGACAACGATGACCTAGTACCGATACTCGAGCAACATTCTGATAGACTACAAGAGCTATACGGAGAGTTTTATATCAGTGAGCTGATATCTAGACACCCGGAGTCCGAGAGGGTCATACTCGTCTGTGAGGTAATAGATTATTCTTATCTAAACTATGCATACTTTTGTATGAACAATCTCAAGAAGATTGGTCGGGTTTAACGAATATAGAGGTAATAATGAAAGACTTAGCAGATAAGATATACAGGGTAATTCACATTTGTTCGAAATGTGAAATGACTATTCCTATCACTATCTTATTCTTTTATAAAGACTGAAGAGTTTGTTTGTTTGAACGCGTAAATCTCCGGAACTACTGGTTCGAATTGAATAATAGGGTTGTTTCCTAAATTATATTTCATTTTATTTTAATTTGAAATATCGTGTGACGTCACAGCGTGCTACATTTTGTAGCACGTTATGACGTAACGACATCCCACTCCTAAACTTTATCTAAGTATTGCCACTTAATACGAGAAAATAAAAGAATACGTGTCTAATATTTTTTGATTATCTAATTGACGGACTAATTAGATTTTTTATTACCCTGGCAACTACCCTATTATTTATATTTCCATTAATCGAGGAAGGTTATAGGTTATGAAACATCACCTTATGACCAATAGGAGCCGAGCAGCGGGTGATACTGCGCGGGAGTTTTTTTTTTAAGGGGGGAAATTCATCGAATGACTGCTCCCGCCTGGGTGAGGCGGGAGGGAGTGTCAGACTCTTACTGACTAAAAACCAACCCGTTCCTTCTCCTGCACGTCGAGCCGGAGCCCCGGTTACCCGTTAGGTTCTCCGCGACACTGCGCGGGAGTAGGTACTATCGCACTCGCACTATGTTAGTATTTTAGTTAAGTAGCGAGAATATAGTAACTCTCTCTCGCTTCGATTTTGGGACAGAAGTGAGAGGGATATACTAAACACATAGTGCGAACAAGGCATAAGTGCCAGCACTGAATGCTAGGTCCGGGATGTTATCAAGGTTTTATCAATAATTTCATTATTGGATACCATTAAATCAATCTGAATAGAAAAAAATGCAGAATCTTCTTTCATCTTCATATTCGTTTCCAGCACAGTGAATTAGCAGTAGGAATCATGTGCCTTAATACACAAATTAATTATGAATCCTTGGAGGAGAACTTTGTGCTATCGCCTTTCGGAGGTCTCAGGCAATTGGAGACAGGCGAGGAATTCAAGGTACCTATGGAGGTCGAGTCCGCTTGCAGGTCTGTACTGGTTCATTGTACTTACGTAGTAATTTAATCAGAGTACAGGTTGTTCTCAATGAAAGTACTATGAAATAGACTTGAGAGCAAAGAAACGAAGCCAAAGCGTGTTTTCTTTTTCATTTCTTGATAAATCTTTTATGATATACCTAAGTATTTAATTAATTGGTAAATGTCGTATAAAAGGCAATTGACGCTCGAATACTGAAAGTCAAAATTTTAAGTTGTACTTTAAATATCGTGCCATCTCTGTCATTTTACAAAGAATTTGTAGTGACAGAGCTATACTCAAACGCGGCTTCGCGTACGGCGCTCTGATTGGCCGGTTCCAGTGAACCAACCAATCAGAGCGCCGCGCCGAACGCGATCTCGTTGCTATTCCTTTGAGTATTTCGACATTACTTACCTTTAAAAGGTTGAAATAGGTACCTACTCAAACAAAAATTGAGAGCATTTTGTTGTAAAAATTTTTTTTTTCAAACCTTTAACTGTGTTCGATAATATGAAAAAAAAAATATTCTAGGGGTTCCATTTTTTGCTCCCAAGTACATATTATTATTATGTCGACAAATTCTTAACAATATGTTTTTTTTATGATTATTATTAATTATGTAAGTGTCTGTTGTTCAAATAATAAGGGTATAATTTTTCTTCATAGCTTGTTGCCACATTATACTGATTCTGCAATAAAGACAAAAGATGGTAAAGACAAATCAAGGGTGAGAAAATTTTGAAAAATGTGTTTTGAAGTTATAGAGATAAAAACATTAATTTCTTTGAAAAATAGGTAACATGGGTATTCGAAGACGACGAATTTAATCCATTTCGAAGTACTACAAGAGTGAACAAAACGGCAGAATCCAAGGAGGAGGTAAGTTATTTTAATATACAAAGCAGTAGAACCAAATTATTGATCAGTTGAAATCATTAATTTACCACCTTTTGGGCCTGCTTGAACATAGATCCAAATTTGGTAAGGCTTTCATTTCTCAAAACACATTAAAAAAAATGACATTAACGCATAATTATCCAGATCTTATTTAATATACGGAGGTATACCTACTTATACTCGACAGTAACACTTAATACCTCTCTATCCATTATTCAAAGAATAATAATAAGAAAGAGTATTTTCCTATCTATAATCATATTATTATCTTACCTCAATTTAGTCAGTACCCTCGATGGCTGAAGAGTTGCCGATCCAACAGCTACACATACTGGACCTATTTGATGATGATGAGGAAGACTTTGAGTTCGATATAGTCAACATTCACACTGACTTGTTGAGAGTTCCCGAGTTTGTACGATATGACGCTTTCGGGGGAGGGTGAGTACAAAGGCTTTTTTTTTTAAGGGGCAAAGTCATCGAATGACTGCTCCCGCCTGGGTGAGGCGGGAGGGAGTGTCAGACTCTTACTGACTAAAAACCACCCCGCTCCTTCTCCTGCACGTCGAGTCGGAGCCCCGGTTACCCGTTAGGTTCTCCGCGACAAGAGTACGAAGGCTAACTATAATAAAAACAAGTTGTTAACCGTCTTCATGATCCAATATCACACTATTTTTTTAATATACTTATGGTGATATAATATTGTAATAGTACCTACTATTATACTTTATAAGTCTACCAATCTACGTGCAGTTTCTACAGTCAATCAGCTGCGGTTTAAGTGAAGTTGTAGATGTCATGACCATGCTGTAATGTAGTAGTAATTATAATGTTCTAGACCTTCTGAAAGTATTATGAAACTCATAAACGGAGGTAAAGAGTCTGGTCCGGAGAAAAAGACAGATCGATCAACAAAAAGGAGCAGTAAGTATGGAGTTCATGAATATTAATGTTACCTATTTGGGCGCAGCCCATAAAAATAAAAAACAAAATGAAAAAGATAAAAATAGAAATGAATATAGATTCATAGTGATATATAGCGATCAACGCTACGCGTAGTGTTACGTCGCTACGCCAAAATTGGGAATCTGCTACGTCGTAGCAAAGGATGATCTAGACTGTAGCACCGTCGTTACTATAAATTATAATTATGCGAAAAGTAACTGTGAGGTTAAGAAAAAGGACATTTAAAGAAGAGGCCAATGTCCAAAAGCGGACTTGCTCATGATAATAGGAACTTATGTATATTTTGAAGAAACTTTATTGGGCATATTCCTGGTACATATTACTTAAACTTAGTAAGTACTTACTTACAACATATTTTGGCTTCTTTGGTGCATATTTTGACTACTTTACACTGCATATAGCTCAGTCTCTAAGAAGTTGCGAGGGATAGAAGTTATGCGTAGGTATATGTAATTTCTATCTTTATCGATTATTTCATTAAAATAATATACATTAAGTAAGCGAATAAAAGGTCACCGCTTAATTTAAAAAAAAAATTAACGTTGCCTCGCTGGCCGAGTGCGAGTGCCAGGTAAGGGGTCTCGGATTTGATTCCCGGGTCGAGAAAAACATAACTGGGTTTTTAAAAAAAATCTCAGTTATAGCACGGAGTCTGGAATAGTGCCCGGTATGGCAATAGGTTCACCCCCTATTACATGGGACATAACATAAATAGTGAAAAGTGGGTGTTACATTGTGCAGTGGCATTAAGTGCGGTAATGTGCACCTCTGCCTACCCCTTTGGGGATAAAAGGCGTGATGTAATTTTATATTTTTAACCCATTATTAAACATATTTTCAGTGTCCTCAAGTGGATTAACAAACTTCAAAGTGGAACCCACGCGGTATCAAGGTGCACCAAATGCATTCTTACTGGAATTGTACGCTATGCATCCTGCCTACGATGAAAGGTAAAAACAATTGTACATTCCATCAGTTTAGACGGTAAACAATCTTGGTATAACTTTTGTAATATGAAAAATTTGTTGAACAAATTAAAATAAAACCAATCATCATCTAAGGTGTAACCAAACAGCCATGGGCTCAGGGTGCGGTAATGGCCCAAAATATTATGTAACATGCAACTTATACTTCATCTTACCGTCGTAAAATTTTTCATACAAATACTTAATTTATAAACTAACTACTTTTGGGGTCGTGGTGGAGGTTTAAGACGCCCTCTTCTCATGCATGAGAATGTGGGTTCGAAACCTACCAACGACAAGTACCAATGTGACTTTTTCCGAGTTTATGTACTTTCTAAGATTTAGACACCACTAAAGTAAAGCCACAACCGGTAAACGAAAACATCGTGAGTCTGGACATATAATTTCTAATTATAAGTTTGTAATCGCCAAACCGCATTAAGCAAGCGTGGTAATTAATGCTCAAACCTTCTCCGTGTGTGAAGAGGCTTTGCTCAGCAGTGGGCACTTATAGGCTGTTAATGATGATTAAGTAAAATCGCGGGTTACTCACGTGAATATACTGAGAAAAGCTCTACTAGTTTCAAAGTTGTTAATGATGACTTAAAAAAACCGACTTCATGTCCCTCTTTTATTGAAGTCGGTTAATTGGTATACTAAAACCTTCTCCTAAGTGTAACTAGATAAGTAACAAACACTTCTGAAAACCGCATCAAATTCCGTTCAGTCAATCATGAGGTAATCACGCACAAACAAACATACATTCTTTTTTTTCTTTTGAAGTCGGTTCAAAATAAGAATAATGATCAGAAGATCCACTCTTGGATATAGGCAGGTCTCCCCCAATGACTTCCAAATAGATCGATTGTAAACGACCTGCATCCAGCGGCTCCCTGCGAACTTATTGTATCATCCGTCGACATAAAAATTAAATTAAAGTTAATTATTATGTTTTCGGCTTACTCACGTAACTGTTTGACGAAGAACTTGACTAGTTTCAAGCTATGCTAGAGTCTGGCAAACGAAAGTAGAGACTGAAAAAGCCCTAGTATGTCATACCTGGAGTAACCAGACGTGAAGACGTAACAAACAAACAAATTTATAAAGTATCAAATTAGGTTACTCCAGGTATGACTAATTTTTGGGTTGCTATACTGATATTTTTTAAATTTGCCGGGCTTTTCAGTCTCTACTTTCGTTTGCCAGACTCTAGAGGCTCATATTCATGAGTAACATTCCGCGACCCGCGACGCGACGACTGTTATTTGAAAACTAACTTTAAAAAAACGCCAATATATTACTAATTGGTCCCTGGACAGGCCTAGGTTCGGTAATTTTTGGAAATTGACTGATGTTAAATGATGATAAGTTCGTATAAATATGTATTAAGTTATGATAAATATTTGATAACATCACTATTACAGATACAGCTTTGATATGCTAGAAGCAGCATTTGAGATGTTTCCCAACAGAGATTATTGTATCATGAGTATTCCTACGAATCAAGGTTCATTTCCTCTGCTAGAACACTTTACGGTAAGGAACAAAGATGATTTTTTGACAGTTTATTTATTAAAATATGTGCGAACCCCAGTGTGGCTTGAAACTAGTCGAGTGTTTTCGATCAGTTTCGAGTAAGCGATGTAATACCTTAATCAATGGTATATGTCGTAGGATAATTATTAATGTTGAATGTACTGCATTGATTTTTTTGTCTCTTTCTTTTGCAGCTGGTGACGCCTTACGGCTACAAAATGAGGTATATCAACGAATCTTTGTATGTGGCACACGTAAATTCGGTTAGAGGGTAAATATCTATTATTAAAAGTTTTTTAAATGGTTTCAAATTTCGTTAATCCCTATACGTATTAAAAAATCACACACATACATAATTCTTATTGCGTTCAACGAACTAAGAAGATCTCATTAACTTTGTTCAGTTGGATCTTTTTTTTGTAATTTCAGCAAAATATCCGTACGCCCTGGTGAGGCAAATGACTTAAAAGCCCTAAATACTATATTAGAGTATGCACCGCGTAAGGATAATCTCATTGATCTGTTTAAATCTACTCTTTCGTCTCATGTTCTGCAAGCCTTTACTTTACTCAGTCAGAACCAACCTATGGGCGTCGTTGTTGTTGGGTGAGTATGTTAGAGCATTCGACAATTCTTTCTATAATGAACCTATTGAATTGCCTCTTTATTTAAAGGTTTCGTGAGACTGTAGTCACCAAAATTTCTTTATAATATATCAGTATATCAGTAGTAGTATAACATCAATTACAGAAATTCCCATGTCAATGGCATTTAGTTACGTTCGTTGGAGAATATCTCCCGGTATAATTTGGCAAGTTATTGATCCAAATATTTTGTTTGTATATCTATAGGCTTAATTTCTTTTTCTTTTATTTAGCCCCTTAGAAAACGGAACAGCTATACGAACTCAGTACGACTTAGAACCGGAGCCACGCAGGCCAGGCACTGATGGAGCGGTTAGAACAGATGTGATGTTGAAATAAAATTTTAATATGAACTCTGATTAGTGTTCATTGAAATTATACTTTGCCTCTACATGTTTAAGATTTATTTTTCAGATTTTAGCTGGTGTCATGTCACCAGTATTTGAGCCACATGCCCGATGGTTCATGAGAGAGTTACTACGATATTCTACGTATTCAACACTGTTCTGGATTTGCAGATTGTTTTCCAAAGGAGATGCGGTACATACCTCTATTTTTAACGAACTTTTTGCTCAAAGTATACAGGTTAATACTATTTTTAACGGTAAAACGATGGTTTTTTTAGATGAACATTTTTTTACTAACAACACTGCCAATTCATGTTTAAAAATTTAGTCAAGATTTTCATATTGTTTCTATAATATTTTTTTGTTTTTATCAATTGTTTGATAGAGTCCTGGTCGCAATTTAATGTCACTGGCTGGACACATGAATCCAGTACATCCCCGCCAGTCAGTTCCGAACATAAGTGGTAATAAAGAGTTGGAAAAAATTTACAAAGATTTGTAAGATATTTTTTATTTTTCTATTTCACATGCCTGCCTCGTTGGCCGAGTGGTCGCAAGTGCGACTGCCGGGCAAGGGGTCTCGGGTTCGATTCCCGGGTCGGGCAAAGTATTACTGGGTTTTTAAAAAATTCTCAGTCGTAGCACGGAGTCTGGAATTGTGCCCGGTATATGGCAATAGGCTCACCACATGGGACTCATAAAATAGTGAAAAGTGGGTGTTACTTCTGTGTGCACCTCTGCCTACCCCTACATCTACCCCGGGATAAAAGGCGTGAACTTATGATTATGATCTACTAGTGACCCGCCCCGGCTTCGCACGGGTGCAATATGCATGTATTATACATACAAACCTTCCTTAAGAATCACTCTATCTATTAAAAAAAACCGCATCAAAATCCGTTGCGTAGTTTTAAAGATCTAAGCATACATACGGACATACAGCGAAAGCGACTTTGTTTTATACTATGTATTGATTTCACATATAACGAGAACAAAGGGTTTTGTAGTTGAATGCTAGTTTTAACTACAAGTTTTTTGTGTATTAGGGGTAATCCATTCGCGTTATGGGTTTTGGAGCGTCCATTGACAAGTTTGCCTAAAGTATACGTCAACAGCAGCATTGTGGTTGTTGGTGCCAGTCGCACAGGACTGGCTTTCCTTGAGACTTTGCTGATGGGGTAAGAAATGTGTAGAAACAATATTACTGTTCGTTTACTACTAACACCATTTAATACGATAGGAGCTAACATAAATATTGCTTGATCAGAAATCGATTGGTTTTCGGATAGTTAATGTAACGAGGTATCGTAGTTGCAACATCCAATCCCGATGTCCCGATGAGTTAAATTCCAAAACGGTGGTAATTGAAGTAGAATATCTATTAAATCTTTTAGATTTCCTAGTTATATATAAGTGAAACAAATGGAAATTGAGTACTACATTCATCTGTTAGTTGTTAAAGTTATAGAGAAAGAAAGTGGCCCCTAATGGACATACAACTGAGTTCAGCCGACCGACTTCGAAGAAATTAGTCTATTTCAATATTAGTTAGCCTAGATTTTTCTTTTTTCTCTCAGGCCCACATCCCAGTACTTGACGTTCAGTAACGTCACCCTGGTATCAGAGCACGGTCTGCCAACTGTATCTGACTGTCTGAAGGCAGCTGATATATGCGTGCCTAAAGATGGTCGGTTCACTGACCGGTATCTAAAGAGCATGCCTTTCTACTACTATTTGGATGTCATGTCTGCCGTCATGGTTAAGATTGACAGGTGATTTTGAATCTTATGATAATTGTAGGTAGTTGTATTTTTAACTGTAGTAAATATTTTTGATAAGTTTAAAAAAATATTCGAAAATTCAAACGCCACTCAATTTTAAGTCGGGCTTAAATATAGTTCTATCTCTACAAATTCTTTGTAAAATGACAGAGATGGCACGATATTTGAGTACAACTAAAATTGAGCAGCCTTTCAGTTTTCGGGCGTATGTCATAAAATGCAAAGACTTATTAAGAGATTCTTTCTTCCTTCCGAGACTTCCACGCATATCGTACAATGTTTAATTGTTTTACAGGAAAAGAAAATGTATACATTTAAAGGGTTGTGGTACGAAGTACTATGATGAACTGGTGTTGACTTGCGGTCAACAGTTCCAACATCCAGATTATTTAAAAGAATCTCTGGGTTTAGTCAAAGAAGTGGCGTAAGTATAGAAAAAAGGGTCTTGACATAAGAACCTTTGAGGCCATTACGATTACCTAGCCAACTTATTGTCTATTGTTGAGGCTCTATTGTTATTAATGTATAACTTAGATATTACGAGACTTAGATAGATATTTTGCTATAATAATACAGATTGTCATAATGGTATCACCAGTTAATATATTATATCCTTTATACCTAGAGGCATTTCAGACTACGTACTGTTTTAATATTTTTTTAAATTAGAGAATCGTTTGCACCTTTTTGCCAGAAATTGTTAACGAATTAATATTTGTTTTATATTCAGTAAAGGTAAACCCTGTGATAGAATGTTATTGGACAATCCTAAATACAAGCCAGAGACAGTGCCAATGCCCCCCGAGATGCCTGAGAACGTGTTTCTGATCAACTCCTTGTTTGAAGCCAATATTTGCTTGAAGAAACTCATGCGCATGATTAGTGATCCGAGTAAGAATTTTGTAGGATACAAAATTAATTTATTATATTAGGTACTAATATATTGGAGGCGAGGGGAGGCCTATGTTCAGTAGTGGTACTTAAAATTATATATAGATTTGTGTGATCTGTAAACCCGTTTTATAGATGTGTATGTCATCATCATTAACAGTTTGTTCTCGTCCACTGCTGGACGTAGGCCTCTCCAATGGCAGGCCACTGAGCACAATCTTTAGCTCTACGTATCCAACCACTACCAGCCACTTTGCGGATATTGTCACTCCACCTAGCTGGAGGGCGCCCTACACTACGTTTGCCTAGACGTGGTCTACACTCCAGAACACGTCTACCCCAACGGTCATCGGTTCTTCGACAAATGTGACCGGCCAACTGCCATTTCAGCTTACCAATCTTTTGGGCTACTTACGTCGGTAACTTTAGTTCTCTGTCTGCCCTCTCCATGGCTCACTGCGCCACCTTAAATTGGTGGATCAGACGCACTGTCAGTGTCCAAGTCTCGGTTCCGTATGTCATTATTGGCAGGACGCTCTCGTTGAAGACTTTTGTCTTCAGGCTTCCCGGTAGAGTTGACGAAAAGACCCGATGTGTCTGTATCATTAATATCCACCAAGTGAATGCTGATAGAAATATAACTGCTCAGCGTATGAAAATAAAGTACTATCGTATTTTAATCTCTACAGAAGAATATGGTGAACCCTTAAGCAAACGCAACCAAGTGGTCGTATACGGTGAATGTATAGAAGCGTACTCCTGTATCGCTGCACTCTTGGAGCTGGGGCTACAACCAGAACTGATTGTCTTCGTGGAGCCGTTCCCCTCGAATGAGGAACCTTCGCCTATGAGAGTCAACTGCTTCAATGACGAAACGGTACTATTTATTTTACGTCTTATGTTTTTTGTTATATTATCACTTTTCCTAATCCACTAAACTTCTTAATAACAATCACACGCGGATTTTTTTTTAACAAGACCAATGTATGACTTCGTAGTGCTTAGTAGGTTCTGGATTTTGGGTGTTTTAAAAAGCAAAAGTCACTATGTAATATGTATGTAATTAATGGGTTACTGCCTACAATAATGGAGCTCTTTACTTCCAAGATATTGTTCCTAAATAAATCTACTTTTTGTAGGTTGATGCACGTGTTCAATTTTCTGTGGAAAATATGGGTATTCGTGTTTTACGCAAGTGTCACTTGGCGGCTTGGCATCAGATAGGCAGTCGCGTGGAGGCTCTGGACTTCATGGCACCTTTGATATCTATCTCTTTGAAGTGTTTCGCTCTTTTTTACTATGGGCTACGAGCCATCAATTTATATGCTTTTAAAGGTAAGTCCTGTTTTAATTCACTCTTTTGACTAACTTATATCTCAGATTCTGATTTCTTTGCAGTGTTATTTTTAATTGTTTGATAAAGCTTCGACCAGTTTCAAGTCGCACCGGGACCCATACTCGATCAACTCAGTTGGCTGTAGTATTCACTGCGCACACAGCTCATGATAATAATAAGTCTTGGTCCGTTTTCAATATAATTAGTCCAGCTTTTTGATATTTATTTTATTCCCTTTGTACAGCGATAAACGAAAGCGGTTTAGTCTACGATGGTGGTTTGGTGGTGAGTCCCACGTTCGAGACCAATGATCCAAATATATTCGGAGCCGGGACTTGCGTGAGGTATTCCCGGCGACTGTACGCAGGCCGGAGCATGCATCGCGATCATTATTCTGAGGACATTGGAGAAGCGGTAAATGTATTTTTTATAGTATTGCGTCGCCGCAACAACTTTGAGAAGAAGTGAACTCTGAACCAAGTATTGGGGACTTGTCAACCAGTCAAATTTAATACTTTGTTCGAACTGTCAATTAAAATCGACAGTTTTCTATGAATTTTGTACGAGATTGTGTATTGGGACGTCACGTTTTTTAGCGTCAAACATACTTATTTCGTAAAAAAATGCTGGAAATATACTAAAATTAAGTTGGTCATAAAATCAATTAATGAAAGCGTGATTATTTTTTAATATTTTGTTGTATTGAACAGTCGAAATAATTTATTTTTGATTAAGGAAAGTACCCAATTGAATATTGTGAAGATTATAATACCCCCTTATGGATATAAGGTCCATAATACAACAGTTAACCTATATATAAACAAAGTTCGCACAAACTCACTCATAATGCATAAAGAAGCTTGTTTCCTGAATTCGAAAAGTAAAACACATCACTTTGTCGACCTTACTAACTACATCCTGTTTAATTGCAATAAAATTAACTTTAAAACCGACAACATAGCGTATATTTTCAGTTGGCGAGACTCTTTTTGCACAAAATGGATCCGTTCATGATGGGAGACCCTGAACTGGCAGAGGTACCATCGGACCTGTTACCCAGATACAGTTCTTGTGGCTTAGGGTAATTGTTCAATGTATTTATGTATACAAACCACTGTTATTCACTTCACAACCTTAGTATATATAATAATATTAATATAGAGGTATTATATAAGGTTGTGTGTGTCACATTATTATACCTCTATATAAGGTTGTGACAATGTACATATGTATGTATGAACTTATGAAATAACTTTTTACACATCATTTTTGTAACTCTGCCGAGTACCTATGTATATCACGTAGACTAAGAACGGAATTAGTAGCTTAAGCAATTTTTTTAATGTTATAGTCTATATTGTTCGGAAAAGACGCAGCTTTTTAATGGTGAAATAATTTATGAAATCGTTCCAGTAGTTTTTATGTGAATACATTACAAACATGTATTCAAAACACAATTTTGCTGTTTACCTATAATATTAGTATAGCAGTATAGATAATACATAATATGAATAATAACAATTTGATTTATTTTTATTATAATTTTGTAGGTTTAAGAGCACGTTGTCAGCAACGAGCAGCCTCTCCAGAATGTCAATGACTTCACAGTTCAGGAAGTAAGATTTTTGTTACTATGATTTAAGTTTTATTTAATAATAAATTGTTATATAAGATTGCCTCGATGGCCGAGTGGTCGCAAGTGCGACTGCCGGCAAGGGGTCTCCGGGCAAAGTTTGATTCTCGAGTCGGGCAAAGTACTACTCGGTTTTTGAAAAATTCTCAGTGGTAGCACGGAGTCTGGAAGCATGCCCGGTATATGGCAATAGGCTCACCCCCTATTACATGGGGCTCCAACATAAATAGTGAAAAGTGGGTGTTACATCGGTGTGCATGAAGTTATGTTATATTATGTGTATGTTAAATTGTTATTCAATAAAAATATCATCATATAACTTTCGTGAGACATACTAAATTATCATGTTTTTCGGCTTTCTCAGCTTAGCGCGACGCGGCGACTGTTCTGCTCAATAGTAACTAGTAGCGCGACAGTCGCGAAATGCTGCTCATGAATATGAGCCTCTTGCATATCTTGAAATTAGTCGAGTTCCTTGTCAAATAATTACCTACGTGAGTAACCCGAAAAACATAATAATTAAAAATATCATCCATTACATAGTCTGTAATGTAACTCTCAAGAGTCATTAAATAAATAATGTTTTTTCGGATTAGTTACGTAATTATTTGATGAACGATTATGACCTCCTAGCGTAGCTTGAAACTGGTCAAGTTATTTTGTTAAACATTCACCGAAGCTATCCGTAAAAGATAAGTGTGTGAACCTGTTAAAATTTTCTTTTAAGACTGACTGCCAATATAAAACTGTTGAAGGTAAATCCGCCGCTAACGTCGGTCACCGGTGACCCCATTGCGTTTAACGTGTTAATTATTATTTCTAAAGATTACCTATATCCATTGACAGATGGCAACCAGTGATGAAATTTGAATCTCCTATCACTCAGTTTGCGATCTTACCTGGTCCATTATATTATTTGAAGTTACGGAAGCCTGGCAAAGAGATTCCTATGGCTATCCAGCAATGCTTACCTCGACAGGTCTGTATACCATTATTTTAATCTTATGAACTTAGAAGCTGGATAATAAATTAGATACAGAGTACATTTACATTAAAATATCGGTAGTGTCGCCCTTTTGACCAATGTGTGTGTAATTAAAAAAAGGGTCTTATCCTCGCCTTGATCACCATATAATCCAACATCACTACAACTCCTATCCTCCTACAAGTCCGAAACCAAGGTCTTTATTGGGTTACCGCTAAAATGCACTGAAATAACGAAGCCTGTAGAAAAAAAATGTGGAAATTGTCTTGGTCATCATAACAGAATGAATCAGAAGATATTATTGAAGAAGAAGGAAATAAATCTCTTTTTATATGGGATAAGCCGGAAAACGAGCAGACGGATCACTTGATGGTAAGCAATTGGCGTCGCCCATGGAGACCTGAAACTAGAGGAGTTACAAGTGCGTTACTGGCCTTTTTGGGATTAGGAATTTGAAGATTATTGGGGATTTAGGGATGTGGGAGATTGGGGAAGGGGGGAGGGAGTAATTGGGCCTCCAGTAACCTCACTCATTAATGCTCAAATCTTCTCCGAGTGAGAACAGGCCTTGCTCAGCAGTGGGCATTTGTTGATGATGATGAACCTCACTTAGACTACGAAACACAACGCAAGCGTTGTTTCATGTCGGTCTTCTGTGAGGCCGTGGTATCAGTACGGTCAAGCCGGCCCCTTCGTGCCGAAGCATGGCTCTCCCACACTTCTTAAATCTATTCAGCTTTCTTGCTACTAACTATTCTCTTGGTTCACCGTTAAAGGTACAGAAAGATTATATAAAGCGAGATCACGTTGTACTGGTTTTATATTTGATGGGCCGACGACGTTTCACCACTATCTCGTCTGGTTGTAAACGATGATGCGGTCTACGATGGAGCAAATCCATCCATATGCAACCTATTCGTTTGGGCCTTGAAGCCTTGGTTTACACTTGGTTTCATGCGTAATCATGTACATCTCACATTACCAGGGCCATACTCTAACGACGGATAAGAACGACAATTACTTCCGTCTGCACCTGAATGTGCTGCATGTGGTGGACGGCGTCACCTGTCTCTCGCACAATCCCTTCTCTCCGGAGATACTGCAGCAGTTGTACGGCAAACATGAGGCCTTCTTCAATAAACTGTATACGAGATTCCAGGTAAACATCTCCTTCTTAACCTACCTCTATATATTATCCATGTAAATAAAAATTAATTGCTGTTCGTCAGTCTCGCTTAAACTCGAGAACAGCTGAACCGATTGGGCTAATTTTGATCTTGAATTATTTGTGTAAGGTAAAATTAATTTTAGATCTTTGGAATGATGTTGTGATGAGGCAGATTTTAGACGTTTGGATTTAAAACATTTGGAAGTGGGTAGCCAACTACCACGTAATTATGCTATCAAAAATACATATACAGATAAAATAAAATTGGAGTGTCTGTTTGTAATAATAAAATAACCACTTTTTACTACAAAATAATACTGGTTAATGCCAGTGCAGACAGATAGATAAGAATTATTACAGAGATTACTCTGTAATGGCTGAACGGATTTCGCAAGACTTTTATTTGCAGTTAGCTGATGTAGGAGTAACATAATCTACTTTTATTTTGGAAAATTGAAACTAAACAAAGTTATGTTATAAAATTCATATTCTACGCGGACAAAGTGCCGGGCAACAGCTAGTATCACAAATAGCTTTTACTAACCTATTTGTACAATCTCTCAGTTAAAATATTGATTTGTAAAACGTCTTTAACTTTAGCTCATTACCTCAATTCATTACAGAAGAAAGAAATTACCGATTTCTACGAATTCTTCACTCAACCGTGGATGTCGACGTTGTACCAGGAATCGTTCAGAGATCTCGTCGATGACATCAATGAACAAGATATTGGGACGGTAGGCAATTTTTTATTTACTAATTGAAAGGTCGATATAAGAGGTTCATTCTTTTCATTGAGATTTGTTTGATATACCGTATCAAACAACCTAAAAATGTTTTTTTTTCTTATTTTTGTTAGTGTAGTTGCAAGATGGCAAAGTATTAATGAGCTTTCAATGGAGACATTTTCAAAAGAAGTGCTCACTATTACTGTATCGTTATTACATTAGACGTTTATGCATCAAAAGTTTTAGATATCAACGCGCAACGCCATCTATCTAATGACAGCGTACTTAAGTTCCTTTTAATTTAAGCTCTCGGTAATGTTGAGCCATTTGTCTGGGGGTTAAAAGCCCGTTCTCGAGAGAATTGTTTCACCATGACACATCTACACTCGATTAATAGATGGCGTTAGCAGAGCAAACTATGTAGTTTCAATTGTTGTGTTTATTATTCATTGAAAATAGAGTTTTGTTTTGATTCCTTTAGCTACTTAACTCGTCGAGTACCGGTTTTGTAGACACAATTATAGAACAATAGGTAGCGGTCACCGGTGACCGCTTGGTGTTTGACAGTTTAAAGTAAATAATAGATCGCGAGGGATTTTATAGGAACATATATGTTTAATTCCGAATAATCGATTGCCAAACATTGATTCAGCGATTTTAATTACAAGAATATATTTTTTGTTATGGTAAAGTATTGTGCTTTTAAACGGGTAATATTTTTTGCAATATCTGGTTGTATTATTGGCAACTAACTGCATAGCTATATATCCGACATACAAGGCTATATCTACCAAAAATGTTTGGACAAATTGGATAATGACCAGGATATAACTACAATATTGTATGGCACTACATATTGTAATCACTGTAAAAAATGTGCCCTGTTTAGAAGCACGCTTAAAATAGGTATATCTTTTTTATGTGATAAGTCGGGAAACGAGTAGACGTATCACCTGATGGTAAGCAATCGACGTCGCCCATGGATACCTGGACAAATACGTTACCGGCCTTTTGAAGATTAGGAATTCTTTCTTTATGTTTTTTACTATTCAAGAATCGGGTAATCGTATCCCTTCTTTACTTCTTCGACTTCGATGTCCAAGGAGGCGGTCAAAATGTATTGGATTTTTGATTATTTTTCATGAATGATGACTGACTTGCAATGACTCAACTCCTCTATTGCATTTATATAGGTGCGTAAAATACACTTGGGAGCAAAAAAAAGAGACACTACAATTTTTCTTTATCATTTCTTGATACATAAATTAATGTTTTCTGATACAAGGATTTTATTAATTGGTATCGTATAGCTCGAATACTGAAAGCCTGGTCAATTTAAGATTGTACTTAAATATCGTGCTATCTCTGTCATTTTACAAAGAATTTGTAGTGACAGAACTATACTTAAGCGCAACTTGAATTTGAGCAGCATTTGAGTATTTCGACATATGTCGTATAAAAAGTAATTTAATTATCTTTAACAATGACAACATTTTGTTGTAAAATGAGTATATATTTTTAAGGACTATAAATATTTCCTGAAGGGTGTATACAACTTGGGTGTCTTCAAGGCCCGAGTGTTTAGGTTCGTTATGGGATGACGTGCTCCATCGTAGACTGCATCATCGCTTCAGGCGCGATAGTGGTCAAACTACGGCTCATCAAAGATAAAAAAATTATAACATTTGAGGACTCAAGGTTGGATAAAATGAAATAAAAAAGACGCTATTGGCTCCGTGTCTTTGATCCCAAGTGTATATTACTAGTGAAAATTGTGTGTTAGTTTATCACAGCGATTTACGTTATGTACATACATATGAACCTCTCGAACACGTATCTGACTCGCACAGCAAAACTGTGGAATGATCTGTCGTCGGCGGTATTTCCGAACCGATACGACCTTCAAACCTTCAAGACGTACTCCTTTTTAAAAGGCCAGCAACGCACCTGTGACTCCTCTGGTGTTGCGGGTGTCCATGGGTGGCGCTGATCGCTTGCCATCACCTGATGGTAAGCGATCAGCGACGGATCACCTGATCCATAGGCTCGTAGGCCTCCTATTCCATAAAAAAAATGTACAATATAATGACATTATTAAATTGCAGATACAAGAGCTACTGAAATCAAAGTTCGCCATGTATGACGCGGAGTTGGATCAATTGCAATCAACATTATTGGAAGCTCACAATTCTTTTTCTTCCATATCATCTACTGGCACTTTTACTATGGTTTGTATTTACTTTTAATATTATGTTCTACTAACCTCTGCCAGCGGTTTTGCCCAATCCTACTTTAATATTATCTATAAATAGTGTATGTTTGTTATTCAGTAGGGTAGATGACTAATTTTTATTTTATTTGTCCGTCTGGTAGATTATTTAAAACGTATTTTTTATTTTTTTACGGAAACGAATAGTTTCGAAGTTACATTGATTTGAATGACGTCACTTTTGAGGGCGATTTATATTCCAAAATGACGTAGCTACCAGCTCCTGAACTTTGATTCGTTTTATCTGAGTATTGTTTTCTTATACGACAAAATAAAAAAAATACGTGTCTAATATTTTTTCATTACCTAACTGACGGACTAATTACATTTTTAATTTTCGTACCCTGTTATGGGGATGAAAGGAACAGGGGTAGATCACGGTCTGGATTAATTAAGGCTACTTTTTATCCCATGGAAACGCGGGCGAAGCCGAAGAAGGTAGTTTAAAAGTCAAGTCACCCTATTCTCAACTGTAGGTATGCAAAATATCAAATAGATTGGCGGACTAGATAAGACCTAAAGAGGTAATGAACACACATACAAACAAACGTACTGATGTTAGTAAGGGTCTGAATGTGGGTATAAGGATATAAAAATAATATCTAATATACATATACCATAAATTTAGGTGTAAGAGCTTTCTGCCTGTACCTTTACTTCGAGTAGGTTCGAACATTTTAGTAATATCATTAAACTTTGTGTTACTACCTGAAAAGTAAACTGCTTTAATAGTCCTTCACTGACGGACAGACTGACTGACTATTATTTATTTTGTATTTATTTGTATAAAATAAATGCTTTGACATTGATGTTTTTTTTTAATTGGGTTACTAGGTTCAGAGCATATTCGATACGACTAAATAAAAACCATTGAGCTAATCTTTTTGAAATTTAGCATACATTATAGTTAGCAGTATGGAGAAGGATATAGGCTAAATTCACGCAGGTAATACCGCGGATAAAAGTCTCCCATGGCGGCAGGCAGTGACTATGGAACACCAATTGCTACGATTCTTACATACTTCTTTCACTTCATCAACAGTCGTCATTCTTTTCATGCATGCTCGATCATTAAGGGTACTTTTAATTTAACCCTTCTTTAATATATCGCTAATCTAGTCGATGTATGTAAAAGTTAGTTATTATCAGTTCAGTAATATTTTATTTGTGTCAAAATTATTTTTTTTATTTATTTTTGACTAACAAGTGTAACTTTTATGTTTTAGGAGGCTCGCAAAGTGGGCACATTCCGTTCTGTGATCGACAAGTTCGTTGCTAAGACTGCTTTTGTAAGTAATGCTTGATTTATTATTATGTAAATGGATTAACACTTTAATTGCTAACGTGAAGGTCGGAATTCCTCTAGCGTAGGGTACCGGTGACTGACGTGGCATTCTAAGGGTTAACAGAGCTTATAATAACCTTCTTTTACACGATTACCTACTTCGAATGATCATTCACCCAATAAGGGTACTGGGTTATCCAGGAGTCAGACAGATATTATAGGGTTTCTGATCTTCGTAATCCTCTGTAAAAAGGAGATAGTTTGGATTGAACCTGGACTAGAGCATAGCAATGAGCCGGCCTTCTTTTCTATTGGACTTCTATAATTTTAGGTATGATGGGCCTTATCGTGCCTAAGTATTACTTTCGCTTCCAGAGTCATTGAGAGAGGTCTCTGTTATGGTGTGATTGTCCTGTACTTAATATTACCCAATTACCCCCCTTCCCAATCTCCGACTCCCCAACAATCCTCAAATTTCTAATTCCCTAAAGGCCGGTAACGCACTTGCAACGCTTCTGTGTTCCGGGTGTCCATCGGCAGCACCGATTACTTACCATCAGGTGATCTGTCTGACCGTTTACCAGTTTTACCCCTTAAAAAATACAATGATGATGGAGCATTTACCTATGTTTTTTGTGTATAACCTATTGTAAAACATATTAAATGATGGGAACTATACGATTTTCTTGTGAGCTATTCAAAAAACGTTCTACTAGTTCGACATGCGGCGACATAATGACACAACAAATATAAGTCCCAGTGTGTGACAAGTCACCTAAATTTCGAACTTTTTTGAATAATTTTTGAAAGTAATATATTTTTCAGTTCAATTAATTTATGTTGTAGATGTTTTTTTTTATTATTTTCCTTATCTTTTTATTTCAGGAAGAGGCTAGCACTACGGGGATGTCTTTACCATCGGTAAGAATCGTTCATATAATATAATGGGAACTGCCACAGTAGATTGAGCTCCAAAATTAATATTTATTAATTTACATATGTATTTGCAACTTTTCAGTATTTTATAATATGCTAGTTTTTTGCGCGTTGTTTCACCTTTATTAATAGAAATTTGACGTAGATCATAATATCGATAAAAATGGATGTTGAAATATACAACATCCATTTCCATCCATAAGAAATAAACATGATATTTGACGAAAAATATAACGTCACTACTGGCAGTCCCACACAAAATTAACATTGTCACATTTTGAAAGAAGTTTAAAAAATACCCTTTACAGATTTCTCACAAGTACCTAGGCCCTTGTGTTAAAAATATTAGTGCTGTGATTTTGATCCAGTTTCTTTACTTTCATTATTTCAAACTTACCCTATTTGCGTGTGTAGGAATGTGGTCAAAGCAAGCAGGTACGCAAGGAAGCAGCCAATTTCTGGAAGAAAGTCGGCGGAGAACGCATAGTGATGGCGCATGTTACACGTTACCTCGATAAGTATTCTGTTACTAACCCACACTTCGCCACACCGAAGCCACAAAACACATAAACGATAAATATAGATATTATTATAAAGGTGGGTACTGACTTGAGGCCTTATTACGAGAATACACAAATAGGTTCACTAGAGGACTGACCTACAGACTGACATTTTTTCTTATTACATATTTAATATTTAATGATTTTGTTTTGACGTTCAAAAGTGCCTTCCTGGTCTAATTGAAATAAATGATCTTTACTTTGACTTTGAAATTGTTGTACGTTTAACAAGATCGAAACATTACCGCCTTCAGCGCTGTGATTGGTCTGCTTCAATGAACCAGCCAATCAGAGAGATTGAGAGTCTGAAAGTTCCTTGTTTTCTCGTACGGACGTCGTAAACTCTGGTTAAGTAACAGTAACACGTTACTATGTGGTGTGGTCAGTACCTACTTTAACAATTACGATGATTGTAAAATGGTAAAGAATTATTTTTCTTTAATTACAAAAATGAATTTTCTTATTATTATGTTATTTTTTCCGTGTCTTTTGGATGATTCTTTTGAAAAATATTATTGTGTTTCAGTTTTTTGTTTATACGTAGTCTTTGTAGGGTTACTTAGAAATATTTTCCAAGCTGTAATAATGTTCTCTCGTTCTGCTGTAGTAATGTTATTGTTTAAAATTAAAAAGTCGATTACATTTTAGACAATTTATTTCATTTTACACATGTTCATTATTAGACAAGTTTCCTTACATATTATATTTACATTAAAATGCACAGTATGGCCACTGACTGTGAATTGGGAATCGCCGAAACAGTCTTAATTGATATGATTTTGTTTTGTACAAAAGCCGAAACAATTATAATTAGTTTTCATTTTATTTTTATTACTATAATTACGTCTATGAGATCAAAGGGTGTTAATAAATGTGTATAAGTTGACTAGCATTCTTTGGGCTTAGAGTCTCCTCACACCAGCGGTTGTTGCGACGGTATACGAAAAACGCAATTATGAATCGCAGGAACATACTTCGCGCGACTTTTTAAAGGAAATGTCGCAGCGACTTCAGTGTCGTGTGAGAAGGCTCTTGTATTCTGTTAAAAATGTAATGAAATGGCCTCTTATTATAAATTTGACTAAACAATATCTAGTTAACATTACAATATCGTTGAGCTGTTAACACCTTAGAAATGATCATGCAAAACCAATTTATATTTACACAGGCTGTATTGCAATGTTAGATTACACTTTGTTCTGTGATAGCTCTTATTTTGTTACATCTATACATAAAAAAAACTGTACACTGAATATTTTTTTAAAAGAATGCTTTGGGTGTGATCTACAAGCGATACCGAAGCTAAAAATATTTTTTAGAATTTTTGTCTGTTTGTCTGTATGTATGTCCGGACTAAACTCAAAAAGTATTACTTGGATATACTTCAAATTTTGCATGAATATTACTAACAGGTCGTATCAACATATAGGCTACATATTAACACGCTATCATCTACGGGGGAGGAGCTGTAAATGACTATTACACGCGGACGAAGTCGTGGGCATAGCTAGTATTATAATATATAATACAAAAATAACGCGAACAAATAAAGTAACAAGCATTTCATAAAAACACGATGCGACTTCCAATAAAATAGATCTACCTACATAGAATAGGCCTGCCAATGATGCACAGCATTACGACTTTTTGACGACTTTTTAAAATGTAATGGAAACATATTAAAATGAGGTTTTTCGGTTTTGCGCTCACGGGACGCCGCTAGTGAGCCGTAAATTCTTATTAGTCCAATAAGTTTATGGTGTTAATTGTGAAACAAGTAAATTTATTTCTGCAAATAGGCTACAAGGCAGCACTTTTACACGTCAATTTTATCAAGCGAACGATGAGGTCGAGTACTAGTGACTTGACATTAAGAAAATATTCTATTGGCTAATAAGCCTCACGCTTTACTAGCGTCACTAGTGGTGCGAAAACTTGCGTTGTGAATGGATAATTCAAAGAGTCATCACAGTAACAAAGGCGAAGAATTTATGTCAATAAATACATACAACAATCAAGAAAATACATACTTATCTTATTCGATTTAAAATGTCTGTACAATAATGACTAGCATACACAATTTACGCATATCGTGAAACAAACGTTTTTTAGACTCGTACTGATAAACCACTGAGGGAATTGCCGGCGGTGGCTGAGGATTTAATGCCAAATTCTTCTCATTTTTTAAAAGGAAGGGGCTCAGGAGGCGTTTGGCCAATTTTGAAGGAAATGTTACTTATTTTTATTGCACACACAGAAAAAAAAAGTTTACATAGTGATGGTAATTTGAGTACAATGGGCGGTCTCTCACACGCAGTGATTTCTTCTGAAAAATTATTTGGGAATGTGGTAGGTGCACAATAACGTAAAAGGGAAAAAAGAAAACAAAAATAGAAGAGAAAAAAAAACTAATTTTATAACTGGAATTAATAATTATGCCAGCATCCACCGGGATTCGAAGAATGGACATGAAGAACTTGCTGAATAAATGTTTTTTTTCTTTCAAGTCTAAATTACTACATTAATATTGGAGGCTGTAATAGATGATTAATGCTCTCACTAAAACGGCAAAATACTATCCAAAACGACTAAGTGCCGTAATGTGCACCCTTCGGGGATAAAAGGTGTGATGTTATGCTACTATCTAAAACTCTGTTGATGTCTCAAATAGATATAGGTTATGAAAAACTGTTGATATATTTACGCCAACAGTCGAAGTGCTCAAATCCTCCTTTAAAATTTTCTGGAAATATCTTTTACTTACAAAAACTTGAGATCAGAGAGGCAGACACAGCAAGATACATAAATCACCTGTAGAAAGTAGTTTTTTGGAAGGGAAAATAGTAGTTTATCAATACGGGTCTGAATAAATTAAAACACTATTTGTACCTATGTATAGACTAAACACGTAATCACGCGTGAAAGTAATTCGATAGAACTTTTATTTTGCGCACCGAATTGCGACATTTCAAGTCATATTTATTATAAAACATGGTTTCATTTTCGTGGAAACAGGCGCATCACTTGGATTGGAATATAGAAGTTTGATATTAAATACATTAACATTTTCACTGACGAATACTTAAGAAAATGTCTCCATTTATTTTTTCTAACTAAATATTGTACTATCGGTGTCATTTCGATAGTGTTTCTCTTCAAGAAGAACAAATTCAAATTCGTACATTGTATACAAGAAGGCTTTCCATTGCAAAGAACAATGACGAGATTTGTCAAGGCTTGGTGACAAACCAAATCTGACAAATCTTCAATTTGTACATACTCGCTAGTACAAATGTATACGTCACGTTATTGATAGCCCTGTAAAACGAACAAACATACATTTATGAATAACTTAATATGTCTTTGGTGACTTAATGCATTTTTAAAACAAACTCCATCATTAGCAATAAATCACTGTAACCACAAAATTTAAAGTTATGCGACGTTTCCACATGTCACAATACTTTGCAATCCATTGTGCGCTGACTACGGAGGCGCGTAGTCGTGCGCCGGCGCCGGCGAGTAATCGGCGCCGTGCAGCAGCGATTAGGTCTGGTATTGCAACATCGGCGCGGCCGCTAGGTTTGCGTGGTGACCGCTGTTCATCCGCAGCGCGGACAGCGACTTGTTGTACCATTCGTCCTCGGCGCTCATGCCTGGTGAAGAAAATGTATATTAGATTTACAGAATCATCATTATTATTCATCCTCATCATCGTTAGAATACTGCTAATCAGTGATCGACGTGGTATTTAGTAGAACCGTACAGAATCGCTCCTTGTTAAACATGAACCTTTTCAACTATGATCTCTAACCCGCCTGCTATGCGTGGATGGAGGTCATGGCAAACCCCTTTATGTAAAGTGAGTTCATAGTCCTGTAGTGAATTCACGGGATGTTAATAATCTCCTAAGTAGGCATAAACAGTTTGAGCTACAAGTCACATAAATACAAATTTACATTTATGAATGTTAGTTTCTATTTATCATTATCGTCATCATAAGCCAAGACGTTCATTGTTGACAATAGGCCGCACATAATAACTACCAGATTCATCGAACAAGAAACAGAAATATGGAACACAGTATTAGACCACACCTCTTTTGTAAAAAATCCCGTCGGCGCGGCGTCGGTTTGTAGATACTGTCGGCCGTCGCGCGTCGGCGGCACGAGTCACCAATAAATTCGGATATACATATTTCAGTTCTAACGGTGTGATAAAATGTTGTTGCTATAAATAAAATAATAAAATAGACGACCCATCAAGAATCTCAACATTTTGTACATTAAGAATAGAAGTTATAGAATAACTGAATTAAGAAGATATTAAAGAATCCAAAATAATAATTGAACAAGAAAACAAACTGAAAAAGTATCAGAAATAAAAGACATTTCAGTTTCATTATTTCAAGAGAAAACTCTAAGTTGCAGCGTTAGTTAAACTAATATTTAACTTCGTTCAATAAGACATTAGACATTGTTAGCACGAAGAACATAGGTATTAGCAGTCTACGAGAGTTCGTAGCGAGTTCGTAGCGCGGCGCGCACGTTCGGCCCGTTGTACGTAGCCCCGCTACGGCGTAGCGACGTAGCTATATACATTCGATATACGTATAGGAGGGCAGGGAAGCGAATAGTGAGGTACCGAATCGACCCTCGCGTTTTCTCAAGATGCAATCTCGCCGCAGGAAATAAGATATTTGCCAAGACGCCGCGAGGACGCCCGCCAAAGTAAATGTAGTGGAAATTTTCTTATTAGAATATCTACGGTACGATGCCTCGCTTCCATTACTTGCTCGTTTTTTCTTACGCAGGAATCTTTGCGCCCGCGGCCGCTTCGTATTTCACGGTTTATCGCTTCGCCTCTTCCCGTTTCTATTTTTCATACAGTGCAGTAGATGGATTCTGGGTACGGAAACCTATTAACATTGTAATAAAAAATCTGTTCGCCATCTTGCAGAAGTATATCAAAGGAAGATTTTTATAAGAATGTACTTTATTTATTTTTCTATTCTAGGCTTTATTTTACTTGGATAGTTAGAGATTTTGCGATGTCTATTAAGTAAAAAGTAGACAAAAGATGACGTTTATTAGCTGACCCAAAAAGTAATGTTTTTTGTGTTCAGCTATAAAATGAAATAGCTCTGTAATGTATCTATCTACCTACATATTTTGAACTACTGCAATTATTGAGTGTATTGGTTCAAAATTTTGCTTAAGATTTTACATTGGTAACAGATCAGACAAAAATGGTACATTCTACAGACACACATCTCCATAAAGATAATTTGTTTATTTATTTTATGGTGAATCAACATCTACATTCTGCTACATTATACAAATTTAGCAGAAAAATAGTCACGTTGAGCTATTTACAGATTCTTACGAAGTAACTAAATAGGTAACAGTTAAGACGAATGTATAATCATAAATATATCAAAAACAGTAGGCGCAAGAAATCAATTTAAAGAAAGATAATAGGGAAAAGAGCGAGAAGTCAAGAAGTCAGTAGAGATATCTTTCTTAGAAGTGTTGTAGGTCCAGGTATAGGTTTCTCATATTAGGATATTATATAGGTCACATGTAAACGTCTTGATCTGAAGATGGCAAATGAACAATCTCCGGCCGCATGCTGAGGAGCCGATCAATTAATACATACAACACATGCTGAGATTTACATAACAGATTTGTTTATTACTAAAAATAGTCTAAGAGGTGATATAAGTTGATTTTCTTGTGACCATCATTGTAGTTAAGAAATAGATGTGAATTAAAAAACCTTTTTAAATCAAAGATTTTTTAAGAAATATTTCTAAGGTTCGACCTTCAGTTATAGAAATGTTTATTCCAAAAAATGGAAAGTAAGACCCTGATAGCATTACATCGTCATCGTCATTATACTTTAAAACAAATACGTAGAATTATAGATCAAAATGCTCTTTTTTCGTAATAGATTAAAACCGTACGTTCACAATGACGAACCAGAGAGCAAAGAGTAATAAAAAACCAGAGAGCGGCGATACTAATAAATTGTAATCAAGTTCTTTTTCTTTCGTGATCATCTGTCGGAACTGGGGCCGTGTGGCCAGGAACAAGTTTTCCCATTATTACAGGGATATTTGTATAAAAACGAGGCATCATCTTCACTTCAGGCAACTTTATAATTGCCTTGACGGTTCTAATAGAAACTTGATGAAAGCTGCCGTCTCTCGTCTACCGCTTTTTGTTTTATGTTACCAACTTACATTTTAGTTGGCATCGCTTGGTATCGTTCTTACTCTAATTTGTTGTATGAAAATATTTTAAAGTATTTTAGAGTTGATAATTTGTTATTAATTTTTGTTGCTGGTTTTGTTCTTAGATTTTGTTTATTAAGTAGTCGCTGGAGCGCCTGGAGACAATTACTTTTCAGTCATTACTAGTTGTTTATTGAAAGTTTCAATGTCTCTAAAAAGCGAAACAGATTTTTTTTCTCAAGGCTCCTCAGCTCTAATCCAAGGTAACATGTCTACGTCTAATCACTAATGTTCAATATAAACAAAGTATCATAAAAATCTGCGGTAAATCAGCTCAGATTAATCAGACATAAAAATCTGCAGTAAAATGTTGTATAATCGCTGAAAATTCATGATATAAATTGCATATTGAACACAAAATCGGTTTGAACATGTATATTATAGACCACCATAAAATGTTTGATAACTCAGCTCACCCATAGTATCCTGTCGCATTCCGACGGCGCTCATATTGGCCCCGTGTCCCATGGAGAACCCTTGCGGCATAGGGTACGAGCCGCCTCCCATCTGCGACAGCGAGAATATGTCCTTCTGGAGCTCCTCGTAGCTCCCGTGGTGCTGTGAGATATACAGGTTGGTTATATTTTGAAATTTTTATGTAACGTGTATCTGAAATTGTATGTTTGTGAACGTACCCACGACATATAGGAGAAAATCCGAGCGTGGGGGAAAATTTAATTCGTTAAAATTGGTTAGTGGTAATGTTTGGATTTCATTCGTCTTATGTATAGGTATCGGTATGTTCGACGTGGTAAAAAGTGGTTGATTTGAAAATAGAATTGTTGTATAATATTTTTCTAAGATTACGACTGCGCTGATTGGGTCGTTTCTGATGTAATAAAGAAAAAAATGGCACTGTTGAACCAAGTTATTGCCTAAAATTAAGGCCGGCAAAAATAATTTCACACAATAAAAATATCCGCACAATCATAAAAAAAATGACCACTCATTAACAAAATACGATCATCTAAATACAAGAACAAACCAGAATATATTTTTCAAAAATCTACGAACAATTTACTCGTCGCAGCGTTCAGAATCTCATCATCGCATTACTAGCACGCAGGATCACGCGGCTTCGAACATAATGATTTTTCCCACCCTGTTTTATGTTAATCGCGTAAATTATTCCGTGGCTTTATGTTTTATACCGATTAACACTTCCAGTAATGGAATAGCGGTGCGGAATTACGTTAGGTCAGCGATGTGATGCGGATATTGTTAGGTATCTACGGATTTTATTAATTTATTGTTATAGTATATATTATATATTGTGATATAAATAGTGAAAAGTGGGTGTTATATTGTACAGTGGAATACTGTACACCTCTGCCTACCCCTTCGGGGATAAAAGGCGTGATGTTATGTTATGTTATTTATTATCTGCATGGTTATGAATAGAAATGAACGTTCTACGTAAGCTGTGCAATTGAGGTTTATTTACTAAATATGTAACTTTAATTCATGTATGGAAAGATTGAAAATTAAATAAGGATATTGACTGAAAAACTGGTAAAGCATCAACTTGAGGTTGATAAAAACGTTGGTGGATTGTTTTAGCCCGGTTTACTTAAAAAAAATTTCGAATATAGGTACACGCATAGTGATTAATTCAACACACACATAACGGACATCTAGTGCTAATTCTATTGCACACAATGCCAATCAACGACAAGATACTAACAAGCAGTGCAATGATCCAATCCTATCTACAGGCTGGTACATTTATACACTTCCTGAATTATTGGAACGTGTGACCACTATTTGCATTATTTTCGTCGGTCTGCCCGGCTGAACGTTCAATCGCATTATGGCGTAATCACGGAGACTGATTAGCGCCGCATGGTAATGGCGTCCAAATTGCGGCGAAAATGAACATCCTGTGTGTACAATGTGTTTTAAGTTGGTCATTAATTATTGGTCACGTGATCAGTGCCTTGTTTCTGGAAGCCATTGTTTGGGGAGAACTAATGTTCGTCATTGAATATTAGGACTGTTCCAATATGTTCGTTAGGATTGTTGAGATAATTGAAGCTCGTTATTTTACTATGTCTGGTCGGAAAATATGAAAAATTTAAAAAATAAACAAAACGAAATTCATAAATGATTTGCTATACATAGCTACTCCAGAGTAGGAAATACTGGAGACTATTTCTTATTGTATCTTTTCGTAGCGGCTGATGAAAGGTGAAGAGTAATTGGGATGATAACAGGGTATGAACATTAAAAGTCTTAGACACGTATTTTTTATTTTGTCGTATAATAAAACAATACTTAGATAAAACGAACCAAGTTTAGGGCTAAAACGTCATTTCTACGTATAAAATGTACATAGAAGTGACGTCACGCGACATTTCAAATCAATATATCGTCTAAAGTATTCGTTTCTGTAAGAAAATAAAAAATACGTGTCTAATGATTTAAAATAAAACCAGACGGACATTAAAATAAAAATTAGGCATCTTCCCTATTCTATAATGTATGAGGACTTTTCACTTAAAAGAAAGCGCGATTTGACAATTTTACTAGTAACACATATACTTTACTGAAATAATCAGTTGGTAAAGTATGCATATTATACAGCGGTAAGTGTATCTAATTCATGTGCAAGGAGCTTTAAAGAAATCTTTATATATCAATACATAGTATAAAACAAAGTCGCTTTCACTGTATGTCCGTATGTATGCTTAGATCTTTAAAACTACGCAACGGATATTGATGCGGTTTTTTTTTAATAGATAGAGTGATTGTTAAGGAAGGTTTGTATGTATATACATATTGCACCCGTGCGAAGCCGGGGCGGGTCGCTAGTAATATATATAATTCTTCTGTCAGTGTGTACGTCACTGAACTTCTCTCAAACGACTGGACCGATTTTGATGAGATTTTTTGTGTATGTTCAAGGGGATCTGGGAATGGTTTAGATTCACAAATCAGCCCGGCAGATGGCGCTGCAGTCGGTGTTTAGGTTATTTATCCTAAACAGCTGAACTAATTTGAATGAATTTTTGTTTATACATTCAAGTGGATATGCAGGGCAACGTCTGTTGGGTCCGCTAGTACCTACATATTATTATGGTTAGATTTCGATGATATTGTTATTTACCTGCGGGTATCTGTTGATGGTGTTCGGGTGTGGGTAAGGCTGGTATCCTCTGTATCCTTGGATGTTCCTCATCATGCCGTTGCAGCCAGGCAGCACTGCAGGAGCCAACGCCTTCTGTAACTGTTTCTCCTGCTTGCGGTACTTCGCGCGACGGTTTTGAAACCAGACCTGTGTGGAGTTAATAAGATTTTAAAATTAGTGGTTTTTGGGAGGTAACCGTTGTAGAGCAAACGAAATTCTTGGGAGTAATGGAGAATTATTTAATCTATACTCTATACAGACAAATAAAATTGGGGTGTCTGTTTGTAATTTCAATATAACACCGCTTTTTAATACATGCATATGATACCTATACCAAAATATATTTTTTTTTATTTTTACTGTCAGTCTATTTTTGGACTAGCTAATCTCTGAAATAGCTGGACCAATTTTGACGGGAGTTTTACTGGCAGGTAGCTGATGTACTAAGGAGTAACATTGACTATGTTTATTTTGGAAAATTGAAACTAAATAAATGTATCGCACCTACGGTGCAATATCGTCACTTATGCAAATTTTGTCAAAACTTAACTGATTATGAAAGAATACTCCAAATTCACCTCTTTACTTGGTGCGTTATTGTCATTTGTGTAGTAAGCAAACTGACATTGTGAGGGCATTACTGTCGTTACGGTTTTGGCACTAATCTGGACGGCCGCGGCACTAGGAAAAACAACGTTTCATTGTTCAGTTGCGCGCGGGCCCCCGCAATACATAAGAGACGGTATAGCACCGGAGGTACGGTATGTCCTAAAACTCATATTCTACGCGGACGAAGTCGCTGGCAACACCTAGTATCTAAATGAATAGGTACTAGAAGATACTGGTTTTTGGATTGGATTCGTGATTTAATCTTGATTTGGTAGCTTATTTTCGTGCAAGAATAGAATTAACTGTGAAGGTACAAAGTTCACATCTTAAAGTAGGAATATGTTTTGTAAATCGAGGTAAGTTGATAATGGGTTGATTGCTTAAATGCGATCACTGGTTTACCATACAATTTTGTTGAACGTTCTAATTGTAGTTATACTTACTGTATTGACGTATAGACGTCTCTAATGCCGGAATACTGAAACGTTACTTAATTTTAAGTCGTGCTCAAATATCGTGCCATCTCTGTCATTTTACAAAGAGAATTTGCAGAGATAGAACTATACTTAAGCACGACTTAAAATTGAGTAGCGTTTCAGTATTTAAAAGTGTTAAACAAACTGAACAGGAGCACAAGACAGCACATTCCCAAATTGAATTTTACTGTGATTCACAATAATCTCTATCACAAACCTAATGTCGCATTGCACTACTCTCAGTATAAAAAAGGATTTAATTAACGGGATTATAAAATCGAATCTTCCCTGTACACATTACAGAGTGGCACTATGGTATATAGGTATGTATATAGAGATAAAACAATGGACAAAACACGAGCCCTTAATCTGTGTGTTGTCAACGGGAATGAAAGCGTGCGTCGTTTGATATGGTGATTAGAGCTGATTAGAGGGAGAGGGTGTGCCTCCCTCCCATCCCTCGTACGGCGGAGAGGGCGGAGCGCCCTCCGCACGCACTCTCCATATAAATAAACCGATATACCCTATGCCTAACTGTTAGTGAAGCCACCCTATCCAAAATATATATTATGTAGGTATTTTGTTTCGGCGTTTCTCAACATTGCCGTTTAAGATTTATTTACATATACTAACGGCTTGCCCCGGCTTCGTGTAGGTGGTTTTTCGTCTTTCCTAAGTGAATTTGATTAATTTTTCTTTTGTAATAATTTAGTTCTCGTGTTACGAAAGTTTACAAAAAGAAGGTGGAGTCATTTAGAACGGCGTGAGACGGCGCGGCGGTTAATACACACATTTTGTTTATTCGCTTTTATATAAATAATGTTAATTGTTATATTATATCTGTATATAGCATACAATTATGCATTCAATTCTTTGTTTATTTATTAAGTCGAATCTCTATATAGGTGATTACAATACACATACAATCAAAACCGGCATTATCCTTGGAGATCTCTGTTACCCTGAACAGCTTAAATTCCTTTGAACACTTTTGAATAACTTTATCAAACATTTTTGCCAAAACACACATCTTATAGTTTCCCATATATATTGAAGTTTCCCTTTATAATCGAGCCCCAAAGATTGGGAAACGCTCCCTCTTTCCCTCCTATAGTTATAGATAGAGAGAGGAAATATAAATGGGTTATTAGTTTTTTCGCAAAGCTACCCGACTTCCGCCCGCATTGCGCGTTGTAATGAAAAACGAAGCAATTTCCTAACCGTTTAAAAAACAACGTGTATTTTATATAATGGTAGATAACTACTGATACAGTTATTGTTTGGTGATTTTGTGTTATAGGTAATCTAAGGTATGTGTACCGACTTCAGAACAAGCGCTGTTTCTTTGCACAAGTGAAAATAATGTAGATCATTTTTATTTATTTATTATTTTATAAGTATAATAAATGTATAATGAAAAATGTGTAATAAATTATAAAGGATATTACTAATTTTAAAATCTAACTAAAAAAAATATAGTTTATGGAATATGTTAACGTAATCCAGTTTTATTACCTACCCAAACAAACGTAGTTTAAAATCATTACAATTTGATTTGATGTGCAGATGATGAATCACCAGGAAGGGTATACTTTGAAAAGATATATTGTAGTAAAACAGGTATTTAAAACAAATATAATTGATTCAATTTCTATTAACAAAATTCATAAAATGTCTATTTTCCATAGGTTAGGCGTAAATTTAAAATGTTTTATAAATATCCTTAAAAAACAAAACCACTCCAAGAAGATAAACGTAAAATATTTTCAACCGAATCTTTCAATCAACAAGAAACAATTTAGAGATAGAGTTAACATAATAAAGGTCGTTCTCGATCGACACTTTGTTCGAATACAACGAGGTATAGATAGCTATCTAATATCGTGGCGGAGGACCGAGTTATCCGAAGAAAACGGTCGCCTTTAAACTGAAAAAGCACGGGGATCCAACAAAACATTTTCTTATTTCCAATTGTAGAATTCATTTGAGGGCAGAGACAATGTCGAGAGGCGCGCGGGGAGGATGAGCGGCTAACTTCGTTACGGATCCATTTGATGGGATTGCAATGCCTCAGGGGCCACCCTCCCGCCCCGCCGCCCGCGACCCTCGCACACCCGGCGACGTTGTATTTTTATATCGAAATTTCCTCTAGAAGGAGGGAGCTCGACGTCGACGTCGTCTTTAACGTTTACATTCTTATGTAGCGTCGCCTAAACGTTAATAGCCTCCTCCGGAGCGCGTGCACGGCACATACTCCGAGACACATAGATACCGTGTATCGGTGTATCGACGCGTGTGTGTATGTGTGTGCAGCACTCACCTACTACACCTACCAGAGAGGCGCACGCTCGCCTACGCGCATTTCACGTGCTTTTAGCCTCGGTAGCGACGTAAAAGTATGAAATAATGTCGTTTCGTTCATAACCTTTCATTTCTCAGAAAACCTTCGACTTTCGTTGCGCTTGAAAGAAAAGAGTAATTGTCGTCTTGATGGAGCGACAGTGAATAAAATATCACTTGAAAGCTATTTCATATGGATGAGAGCTAATATGTGATGATTAGATTACCTTTAGAGAGAAGAAATTCTTTGTAAGGTGCGGTAATAGCATTCGTAAAAAAAGTCAAGTCGAGGAAAAATTCATAGGTAGACAGACGGGACTTTAATAGAGGATGCTAAAAGTCATGTTCTGAATAAAACATCTAAAGCGACAAATTAGGTGCTCCAGGGACAAATCAATATCGAGGGTCCCGGGGGATTGAGCAATTTTAAAACTGAGATAAAGATCTCTCGCGAGTTACTGTAAGCATTTCGTATTCATACGGTCGAGCCCGACAGATGCCACTTTAATTCAATCCGCCTCCGGCCTACGCTCCAAATTGTATTATCCGAGTATTCGCGCATCATTGATATTTCGACAATTCCATCGAAGAACGACTGGCGTGATACTATTGTGCTGGCTGCCATATTCCCTACCATTTTATTCACACCGCGGGTGGTCCATTTTTGCAGCATTCCAGTGTACGTTAATTGAGTCGTGAACGTGAATATTTAACATGCAACATAATGCATATTTTAATCTACGTGTATTGTCTTTAGGAAAGAAAAAAATATATGTAAGTACATATTTCAGTTTCAGTCAGGTGATGCTAGCTAGTCTAACAGAAACTAAATATAATGATTCTTTCACTATTCACTTATATTCAATGGAAATACAAAATTATGATTTATTTTGGAGTCTTGTAAAAAAAAAAATTGAAATAACTATTGTGAGACATATTAAATTACCTAAAAATCGCGGGTTACTCACGTGAATATACTGAGAAAAGCTCTACTAGTTTCGAGCTACAGAGGGGTTCTTCGTCATGAGCAGCGTGCGTGGTTGCGGCGAAGTCGCGCAACACCTCTGTGACTCAAAACTAGAAGAGCCTTTCTCAGTATATTCACGTGTGTTTTAGTTAATCTTGTAAAATATTATGTAAGTACTTAATTTACTGTTTTGTGTTTATCTCTTAAAAAATTAACGAGTGATTCTGACGAGAAAGGTGTCCATAACACAACTATTTCAAAGATTATCATTAAGTAGACATAATTTGAAACAACATAAACATTTGTAGGTACTTCATTTCTAACTTAGAAGTCGTGACAATGACAAAAATAGAATTCGCTTCAAATATACTTATAGACTTCTTCTATAAAATCAATTTGATACTGATGTTTAGTCGTCCTGCAGGCATGTGCTTTCCTTTCCTATCAATATACTAAAATATATACGATGTTACATAATGTAAATAATATATGTTATGTATGATGTAACTGACCTGTATCCGTGCCTCGTTAAGTTTCGTCGTCCGCGCCAGCTCCTCTCTGCAGTAAATGTCCGGGTAATGTGATTTAGCGAATGCCGCTTCTAATTCTGCTAATTGTTCCTGTTACAATAAAAACAAGACAATTTTATTATTATTATAAGTCGTCTATTTGTTCATTTATTTAATAATGTTTTGTGGTGGTTACAATATGTTAATTATTTAAATAATGCACACATTTTGTTTGTTTATTATGCATATATTGATCTTTATAGAGTTCAGAGTGAAAAGAAGTTTTGTTTTTTTTCTGCGTTTTTTCCTGGTCTCTCCTAATTAGGGATCGGTACCCATTCTTAATTAAATTTGGCTAAATGACAACATTTTACATATAACTGTTACTACTCTCTAAAAGACATTGATGGCATTTCATTGTATTTTATTGCCTGCCAATTATTATATTTGGGAGCAAAAAATGGAGCCACTAGCTTATTATAAAGGTAAATTGCCTTTTATACGACATACGTTACCAAATAATCAAAATATTAAAAATACGTTAATAATATGGTAGTTGACAGGTAGTCAAATTCAATACTTTTATTGAAATGCCAAAAACGATACTTTTCTATGAATTTTGTATTGGATCGCAACTTATGACGTCATCATATGTCTGCGTCAAGTAGCATACTTATTTACTTAAAATTAGCGAGAAAAAGAATAGTAGGTAAATTGTCAAATCAATGGATGAGAGTATGATTATTTTTTAATTATTTATTGCATTGAAAAGTTGAAACAATTTATTTTAAACCTAGGAAATTAGCCAATTAAAAATAAGAAAATATTTATCAAGAAATAAAAAATGCTAGCTGGCTCCGTTGCTTTGTCCGTGTATTTATTGAAACCAAACTAATTTTCAAAGTTGATAATTTACCTGTGTGAAGGTGGTTCGATGCCGACGTCGTGCAGGTGTGGGACAGGAGGCTGTGGTTGGCGTATGTCCAGCGTGCTGGGGGCCCAGTGCTGGAGACAATGCTGAAGCACCTCCAGAGACACCCCCACTGCCCCCGCCAGGCTCCGGCTTTAATTTTTTGAATGCACCTTCCGCTGTTGAAGAGAATTTGTGTTTTAGTTTCGAAAATTTGGTCAAATGTTACACTTATTATGGGTATTATATAAAGTCGCTAATTATTTCCTTTACTTCTTTATTCAATGGATTTTATCTTAGACTATTTTTTAAGTTCAAAAATTTATTGGTCTTGTTGTTATGTTTTTTTTTGAGGACAGAAAATCATCAAATGAGTCCTCGCTCTTAGTGAGGCAGGAGAGAGGACAGATTCTTATTGACCTGCATCACATAGTCAATTTCATATTTCATAACCACAAAAAATATGATTTTCAATACGTTGATGGGTAGATACGTCAGAAATCCTATACGCAACGGTATATAAACTTTATTTAAATGACCCGAAAAACCATTTTCCGTTTTCGTCTCACTACTAAAGAAACGTTGGTATTAGCATAGCGGTCTACCGGTGTTAGCATCGACCCGTTGCCGTAGGTCAAGTTCGCGCGGCCCGTGTAATTCTAATTGCGTTGCTTTAACTAACGCTGTTATGAGGCTAATGATTCCAAGTCTCGAGGTGTGCCGCAATGTTTTAGGACTTGTACTACTGATTTTACTGTTGAGTATTTTGTTAGGGTGTTGTGTTTTTTTGTGTGAAGGTAATGTTTATGGGTGAGATGTTTGAAATAATTAGATACCTACTGTATAAACGATGATTATAGGATTGATCACGAAATGGGTGAATGAAATAATGCTAATAAATAGACTTTGTATTCCGCACCGTGTTCAAAGTCAAAGCATTTATTTCAATTAAACCATAATTTGGTACTTTTGAAACGTCAAAAAATACAAAATAAATAATAGTCTGTCAGTCAGTCCGTCAGTGAAGCTAGGTGAAGCTAGGTTACTTCAATAATGTGTAGTGTTTTAACTGTAAGATTCCTTACAATTAGCCAGATAAACAACCATAGAACAAAACAACTGCATTTCTTTGTTCTGTGTAAATAACAAGTGAATGTGTTATGTGAACTTTACAGAAGACACTATATATAGTAAATCCTCTGTAACTAATTCAAACTTTGATATTGCAATGAAATGCCCACTTTAACGACGATAAACCGTTTACGGAAATCATAAATCCATCGACAAAAGTAGATCCACATTAAAAGTGGTTAGTCCTCATAACAAATTCCAAATAGCGATCCTTAGCTCGTTTTAATTGTATTCCCACATGGCCGCCGTTCGCTGGAATGCCTCAAACGTAACGTTCATTTTTGTGAAAAATTCGCATATTGGCGACATAATCACTTTACCTTCGGTTTCTCTGAGCTTCTGAATTAAGTGGGGGAGATTTTAAAAGCACCGTCGGAGGTCGGTTTGGAAGTATTCATGCATTCCCTTTGACGTTGTTCCTGGCTACTTACTAATTAACATGGAGCTAAGTGTTTGCGTCCGCGGTAAACGTTGCCTTTTAACGTTTAAAAGGTTGTATTTTTTCATCCTCTTCCATGTTTTTAGGGGCTTTGATGCCGAATATATTGGTTTCGCTTTTTATCTAAAATTTTTCGGGATGCTATTAAACCATTAGAGATAGAAATTAAACATTTATATTTTAGACGTTTCCGTTAAAATGTTTCGTGTTTCTGCGGCTTGTGTTAATGGCTGGTGTGGGTCAATCGTACCGATTAGTGGCCTCTATAACAGTATAATGCAAATTCCTCTACAAAACAAAGCAGAAAAGATATGGAATCTGATACCAATTGATTTTGACTTCTTGTACAAACACCAAACAGCTTCAATAGCATTTCTTTACCCATTTCATCGAATTTATCTCGGCAAATCGCGAGGGGTTGTATCAATTAGAGTCGAAAAATTGCGCCTGACTTGCAACAAGTCAGAGAACAGTATTTATTTGTTGAACATTTGTTCGGGGGCGTAACAGAGATTCAATGTAACATGTCATTAGGGGGTTGTAATCCCCTAATTATGACGATTGACATAAAAGCGCCATCTGTGGCCGGCGAGAGGTGTCGGGTGACTGGGTGACTGCACGAAGTGTCGCAAATAATGGATTTGAGTACACTGAGGCGTTATGTCTTGTGGATTATGTTAGTGGAGACTTGTTGATCTGGTTGACTTAAATATGCAGTTTTTATTTCAAATTGTTTGTATTAGAAAGTGTTTCAGCAGTGTAACTAGGTAGGTGTGCGTTTAGGTTATGTTTAGAATATAAAAAAAGGTATTATAGACTCCTACTCCTACTAAGGTAGGCTCCTATTGTAGCACCTAGATATTTTAGTAATTTGACGTATTAGGAGTACAGGAGTATCTACATTACTCAATAATAGCAATGAAAAAGGAAGTACATTATAATTCAAATTAAAAAGTTAAAATTAAAAAGTGAACTTTGCCGGTCCCCATTTTGGTAGTAATACAAATAACATCACTGAAACACAAAAACCAGTTAGCTTTGCACAATAAATTAGAGAAGGCATAACAGGCTCAAATAGACTTTACAATCAAATAATCAATGACTATTTTTACAGTAAAAATCAAAATTCCTATTAAAAATTGTATTTTTTGTGAAAGAGCCCCCTCGCGGACCTCCTCGTGTGAGCCGCGGGGTACTCGCCGATGGTACATATGTTCTGATCAATAATGCACTTGTGATCGACACAAATGCCGCAAATCCGACAGATTGCTGTTTAATCGCCGAGGTGGAGAGGGCGCGAAATAGATGTTGGATTTTACAAGTTACATTCAGGTCTTGGTGTCTATTTTTTTATAGTACTGTGTCCCTACCTCGTGCTATTTTAGTTTTCGCCTATTGGATGTTTATTAGTGTTATTTTTGATGTCAGCTTATATTTTTTGATGAGATTTCATTATTTTAATGAAACGCTTTTGAGTTATATAGTTTTAATCTTTATCGTTTGTTTATGTACAAAAAGAAAGAAAATATTTCTATAAAATTGAATTAAGTATTAAAAATGTCAATTTGATTGAATTAACCAAAACGGGTCCATCGGCGTTTCCTTGTTTAAGTTATCATGCACTTATAAAATATTAGATCATTAAACTGCAATACATAAGTTGATACTAAAAAAGTCCAAGTATTATCCACTATTCAATTTCTAGTTTCAGAATTTCAAACAAGATCACTAATAAATTTTTCCAAAAATTATTGAACTTAAATTACAAACGCGATCAAATACAAGTCAAAACAATGCTACAAACATTTGTAACCCGTTAAATAACTTTTTTCAAGTGCCAGCTGATTCGAAGGGTCGTTCTACACAATAGGTTTACCGGATTTGCACGAGGGGTGCGCACGCGCTTTCAATCGACACTCCATTATGTCGAGAGCCTCTTACAATGAGATTATTATGCGCATATTGGTTAGCTGTTTAGTCGGATTACTGTTTCTAGTCTTATTTACAGTTGCGACTTTTTTGCTTCGTCTAGTTTTCTGTTTTTTTTTACTGCTGGTTATTAGACAGTATTAAATTCCGAACTTCAGAATTGATATGTACTTACATACATAAGAGTTTGTGTGCGTCCTTGGAATGCCACTATTTTGCCCAGGTACTTAATTTCTTGTACTTTACACCACATTTCAATTTTCTAACACTCTCTTTTTATCATTAGATTCAATCATTCACAGCTATTGGAAACACACGCAAAAGAGTATTCCTAGTGATCTACTCTTTTATCACATTAACTACAATATTTTAAATACACTTCGAATACCGTTTTCATTTACTTTGAATTAAACTAACAGTAAATCAGAGTAACCAGAAATCTCACTCAACTCATGACTTAACAAAGCTAATCGGACATCTGCGGTCGAACAAATAAACTGACCATTTCCGTCTTAGAGGACCATTTGCTCGTAATAGAGCGAGGATTGTAAATGACTATAGTTAGGGACAGGTGTGGTACACACACGATGGACACGCGACGCGGATTAACGACAAATAATACACATAAGTATAGATGTATTTTGTTGCATAGTTATCCCGAGGTTTAAGTTGGGTGAAGTGTTATTGAAATTTGTACATTTCAGTTTGAGTATTAAAATCTGTTATGTACCTAACATAGCTCAATTCAGGGGGAAAATGGTGTTAACATTACAGTCGGAGGTATATGAAATTAGCCATCAGACCACCACAAATGGGGCCCAATAGGGCTGATGCCGATACGGAGCCGCGGAAAACTTAACGGGTTGCCGAGGCTCCGGGTTGAAGTGCAGGAGTAGGAACGGGATGTTTTTAGTAAGTAAGAGTCTGACACTCCCTTCCACCTCACCCGGGTGGTAGAAGTCAATAAATAATTTTTCCCCCTCAAAAAAAAGGTATATGAAATTATTGGCTAAATATTACAGCATCGTCTAACATGAAATGATTGGCATTATCTTCTGTTGTAAAACATGCACTGCTGAACTAAGGAAACCACTAAAGGGGAGTGTGCCATTACTTATATTTCTACTGGTTTGTTGCGTATTGAAGTAAGGCCATACAAGGCATGCTGCTACCTGTATTTCTTTGGCCCGTTGCAGTTTTAGAACATATACGGAATTCACCAGTTGTCTATCACTTCCTGACAGTAGAATATAAAAATATACATATTGTTTCATACTTCAACGATAAATATTATGTAGGTACTCAGGGCTCGTACACAAAACTGCGATGCGCATCGCATCGCAGTTTTGTGTGAAGATGCGAATTCGCAACGCAAAAAATTGTGATGCGAATTGCTGTGATGCGATTTCATTCGACAAGGCGTCTCCCAGGGTGACCAATCCTTCGACGACCGTCAACCGTACTAAACGTTTTTTAAATTGAAAATTAGGTCATGATAAGGGTCGTAAAATGCGAATCAATTCGCAAGTTCTTGCGATGCGACGTCGCATCGCAGTTTTTTTTACGACCCCGGTCTGGCCGTCCGAGTGAGCGTCAAAACGTAAAGAAGTCAAAGCAGTATTGAATCTGAACTGCAAGAAGAACCTCTTTCTTTAAAACAAAGAAGGCAATGTTAAAAAT